AAGATATAACTAAATGTGATATGATATCCTGGATGGAATCCTGGACAGAAAAAGGCTATTAGGTAAATATTAAGGAAATCTAAGTATGGTACACAATTTAGTTAATGATAATACATCAATATTGATTCATTAATTGGGACAAATGTACCATATTAATATAGGATGTTAAGAACAGAAAATGGGTGTTGAGTATATGGAAACTTCGTGTCCTATCTTCACTTTTCTTTAAACCTAAAACTATTTCAAAATGTAAAGTTTATTCAAAGTTATAACTAAATGCAATAGAACATAAATTTAACGTACAAGTATTGTCTACCCTTAAAAATCTAAGAAAAATGTCTCGCAGGCACCAATGTTGGAAAAATATTACTTCTTCTGTTCGCTCAGTTAATCCTGATCATGCTCCATTTTTCCTTTGGTCACTAAGAAGCTTGAAAACAAATCTATCAGTAACTATTGGGTTGTCAGAAAAGTCGGGATGCATTTTTGCATAGAAAACATAGAAAAATACCTCATGACTTTTCCAATGACCCAAAATAAAGAATCGTATTAGCTTCTATGAACTTTTTAGATTCAACTTAGCAACTTCATTAATATTTTTGTTTTCTTCAATTTTTTCTACATTTATCACTCTTTTCATTGCATTACCAATTTCCTTAAATCTTTTTAGAGAGAATCTTTAATATATATGCATTTTTTTGTCTAATTATACAAAATTTTATTACACGAATTTCTGATTTTCCACAGCTTACATTACCAAAATTCTGAATAGTAAACTACTCAACAGCTAAACTATCACAAATTACTTCAGCATGGATCTTCGGCTCTTGAACTGCAATAGCTGATGGTGAGGACTAGTAAAGTTAACACTTGAGATGCCTAATGTGCATAAAGAAAAGCCATTTGTTGTAGTCTGTTCTCTGTTGCCAATAACAAAAATACCTGTGTCTGGGTAATTGATGAGAAATAAAAGTTTATTTAGTTCATGATCTTAGAAGTCTAAGTTAAAGGTGCAATATCTGGCGAGGGTCTTCTTGCTGGTAGAGACACTGCAGAGTCCTGCTATAGCACATGGCATCGCATTGCAAGAGGCAAAAACATGTGTCTAAGTCATATGTCTCTGTGTCCATGGGTTTATCTGTCTCATCCTCTTTCCTTATAAGCCACCAAGATTCAATCATGGGGGCCTTGCCCTGATGACCTTATCTAATCCAAATCAACTCTCAAAGGCACCACCTCTTAATAAACCCATAGTTGGATTAAGTTTCTGCTTTCTTAATACCATTGCAACCAATTTTCAACACATGAATTTTGCGGCAAGATATTCAAACCATAACAGTGCTCCTTCAACAAATAATAATTATCATTATTGCTATTATTAACAGAATTAGCAATAATTGTTTTCATCAAAATAATGGAGAAAAGGCAGCTGAATTACAAATCAACTCTGGGCCCAGTGATTTTCTCAGTGACCCAGATAGACAAAAATAGCTGTCATATTTTGGTTAATAAGAACAATAAATAACTCAAGGTGAGAGTGAGAGTAGAAAAAAAAAAAAAAAAACTAAGATGGGGAGGAGAGGAAAACAAGAGAAAAGAAGGAAGAGGATTTCTTAAACACTGTGAATGCCAAAAAGGAGTTTTAAGGCCTTAAGTGAAATCCAATCACTTGTTAGCCTTGACTCCACTAAAATAATAAAAGCAACTAAAATGAAAAAAAAAAAAAACAACCCTCCGGCATTTTTGGCACTCATCTATTTAAAGCTTCCCAAAATAATCACATTTGGGAGCCAAATAAACACCAAATCTAAAACTCTCCTTGGCCCAAAGGATGCCAAGTTCCTGTTCTACTACCCAAAGTTTTTTTGTTTTTGTTTTGTTTTGTTTTTGTATTGGCACATTTATATTCAGATCTTTATATCCCTTATTCAAGAAGAGGAAACAGACAATAAGGATTTTTCATTAAAAGAATTCTTTCCTGTTGAAATACCATGTATTTTATCGACAGTGGCCGTCGCTGTCTTAATAACCTTGAGAGTGCTCCCAGATGAGGAAATGAGGCTCAGGAAGATAAAGAATTTGTTTCAGATTCTTGCAGAGAACACATGGTGGAGTTGTTGAACCCAGGTCAGTCTGACCACAAGGATTCTCCTCCTTCCACTATGCCAGAAATTTAATGTAAAGATATCCAGCCAAAACTGATAAAGAAAGGGAACTAAATAAAATAGCTAAAACTGTTTAAAGATTTCTCAGCATTGTGTTAGGAGCTTTTCTGTTAGCTCATTCAATTCATACAATAATCCTATGGGGGTAGGTATTATCATTATCTCTATTTACAATCAAGAAAGCTCAAGAAGAGCTTACTTGTTTCACTTTGATCATGCAGGCTGAAACAGAGGAGGAAAGACTTGAGATACTGAGGAAACAGCAAGAGGGAAGAGATATAAGCTATAAGTGAACCACTGGAGAGGGTGACCCCTCTGCAAGGGGAACCGGGTATCTGGTACCCAAGGTCCAGAGAGACCTGCTCCGCTCTGGAAGGGAAGAAAACTGGGAGGGAGGCATGAGAATGTACACACCAGTATGGGATGGGAGGGCAATAGAGGTTGTTAATTTGAACTATTGGAAATAAAATGAGTCATGAATTCACTAGTCAATAAAAATGGCAGGGATGACTAAATAGCCAATGATTTCTGAGCATTAGACTTTCTGCTTCCTCAGGGTTTGAGATTAGTGTGGGCAGGAATGGAAGCCCCTAAGCGTGTTCTGATAAGTCAACAAGAAACCTTCCACTTTCCAATTTATCAAATTCATTGGGCCTTAAAATATTTCTATCCTTTATAGGTATAGAACATCTCAGAGACACACACTACTTTAATGTATAATCTGTAAGGCAATTTGTCCAAATTTACCTGATCATATAAATACCCAAGGCACCTGTTACACCAATTCCCAGGTTTCCCATGGAGAGTCTGACACAGTGGGCTGAAAGTCCCAAGAATCTGTGTTTTGAATGAATGATTATAATGATTCTTATAACCAGGCTAGTTTGGAAAATTACCTAATAAACTCACATAACAAACTTGAAAGGAAGATATCATAATCCCCATTTTCATAAATAAGTAGAGTGAGACTCACAGAAGGGAAGAGACACGCCCATGACACACAACTAGTCTGTGTCAGAACCCAAGACTATGTATTAGTGACACCATAACTGTATGCGAGCCACTGCATTTAAATCTATCTGAGCCAGAGTTAGCTTCAAAAACAAGCTCCTTGGTGTCTGAATACGGAATCTGACACCAGGAACAGGGAGTGTAGAATATCCAGACCTATCAGAATGAACCAGGGAGGAAGTTAAAGCCCTAGGTTGAACAAAACCCAAAGGAAAAGAGAAGGGTGGCAAGGTTCTCCTCAATCTCTAGTTCCATTTTTGAGTCATCAAGGTTTGCAGGCCAATGGGATATTGCCTAAACACACAACTACTAGCACTACCTAGACTAACAGGTTCACTCAAAAAGGATCAAAATATTTCTTTCACTGCTGCAGTGGAAGAAGCAGACAAAGAGAAAACCTAGAGAAAGGTCTTCTCAGAGATAACTTCGGACAATTAATGTCACATCAAAAGAGAAATCTCAAGATGAGATCTTTACCCACATTACCTTCCATGGTGGTGATAACAGTATAATGGTGACTAATTAGACCCTCTAGGAGAAGTGTAGACCATTCTACCAGAGCCTTCTCTAATGGGGTGAGTGCTTAGAGCTATGCTGAGGCTCTTTCACCCTCCACTCTGAGACCTTTGGCTAATGATTGTTTCACTGGCGGGAGACAGGGGCAGGGGCATGAGAAGAAAAATGACATGCTTGTGGAACATGTCCTCTACTCTCCTTTCTGGAAGCCCTTGCTGAACTACCACACACTTATTTTTATTTTTTACTTAACTTCATTTGCTTATTTTAATTTGACCAGAGAGGGACAGAGAGGGGAGGGGGGGAGTGAGAAAGCAAGCTGCCAGGTCCAGGACTTGAAACATGGTTGGCCATGTAGGAGTCCAGCACCCACACTACCTGCTTGTCCCCCACCACACACTTATAACGCACTATGAGAAAAGGTTCAAATCCACCCCTTTAACCATGTTGACACAAGAAAGAAAATGGGGAGGATTTAGTCCCTTTCGGAATGAACTGACTTTCAGATTCAACCCCTGGCTTCCTAATTTACACAGGTTTATCTGTCTTCTAGGAAATAATCTTTTTCGTAGGTTTGTTCAGTTTGTTCAGTGCAGGCTCTAAATCCTTTAAAGATAAAAAGACCCCAGCCCTGCCTGTTGTATGTCTCCTTAAATCTGAGATGGAGATGACAACAGGCTCACCATACTTAGAGATTTCATGTCTAACCTCTATATATACCCATGCACACACCCACTTTGTTAATTATAGCAACTGCAATTTCACACTCAATGAGTATTTTGTAAAAGTCTCTGTCATGTAGCACAGGCTTTATTTTTAACACTCACAATTTACTGAAAAATAGTTGTTGACTTCAACATACATACTTCTACAGTATGGGATGATTAAGGTACATTTCTATCAAATGTAAAACATGTTCCTAACACACTCACCCAGTTAAAATCAGCTTCCTTGAAAAACATATCTCCTGTCTTAATTTTTTACACATGCCCATAAACTGTACATATATTTTTCCTTTTATTCACCATGGGAAAAACAGTAACATTTCATGCTGGAGTTTTTGCCTCTCCTACAAACATATCCAGTTTTCATGAATGATCTACTCACATGCTGAGCCTCATAGGAGCAATGATGTTCGAGCATGGGCAGTGGAGGTGGAAGATCGATTCAAGATGTTTTAAGTAAGCAAAATCGCATGCAGATGTACAAACAGTATGTCCAGTCAAAGAGAGTTAAGAAAGCAATATATATATGCAGACACCAAAGAATGGAAGAGCACAAATAAAATCCAACTTGTAATTAACGTACCGTGCTGTGACACCTGTTGCCTTCCACGATAAGAAGTCTGGGAGATCAAAAAAGTGTCCCGCCTTGTCCCAGCAAGTTTCTCTCAAGTTCTGCCAAATTAAATATATATTAGAATCAATTATGGGTTTTTCCCCCCTACCCCTCTCCTCTTTCAATAATATTTCAAATTTTTCAAAACAAAAGCACAGCCAACAATGCCCATTAAAACATCTGTTCCCGGGTAAGGGAGAGGAGAGATATAAAAGCAATGGTTATATAGAAAAGAAAACTGGTGATTATTGGTCCTTCCAAAAAGTGACCATAATTTTTCTTTTATCCCTCTTTGCCAGACTAGAGGAGGAGAGCACACCCTGTGAGAGTCTGCAATCCATCTTCCCAGGGAATGGTGAGAGGCTGTTTCAAGACATAAAACAAGATTTCAACAATGAATAGCTTAAGCTAAGAAGAAAACTGCACTAAGAAGTTACCCAGGGAGGCTCAACATGCCCTGTCGCGTAAAATCTTCCACCATCCAGTTGGTTTCAAAGGCAATAGAAATAATGGTCTCTACCCCAAAGAACTTCCCATCTAAGTCAGAGAGAATGATCACATAAACAAGCCATTGCTGGAGCTCATTTTTATAGATTTGTTTCTTCCACATTACCAAATAACCAGATTTCTCTTCCTTATTGTCAGGCTTTTCCTTTTCTCGGCTTCCTGCAGTCCTGTTTCCTGCAGCCCTGTTTCCCCAGGACCCATGCCCCTCTGTTTGCTTTGGTTAACCCTACTCATCATTCCTCGGGACAAGTTTCCAGGATCTCCTGTTCAAGGTTAAGCCTGGCTGTCATACAGCCCATACTCCCACAGTTATTTCTATAGTATCTTTCTTTCCTGCTAGACTATAAACTCTTGTTCATCATGTTATCTAATAACTGTCTCCTCTCCTCTGCCCAATCTGAGAGGACCTTCAGCTGTCGAGAATAAAAAAATTACTGTATTCCCCTTACTATAGAGCACTTGACTGGACCAGGCGTGAATGTGTGACCTAGCAGATCCAATCAGATTCCTTCACCAAAGAATTTAGAATCAGGATCCAAATACAGCCATTTAACTTCTGCCTATTCATGGAACTGGAAGGGAGATAAACTTGGAAATAATGATCATTTTCTGCCAAGCACCTAAAGAAGTAAAACTTCTTGAAGAGAAAAGATCAACTCACTAGCAAGAAAGGTCCATTACTATTCAGTAACTTGCCATGTCCTGGTTTTAATTATTTCCTCTAGAAGAGGCTAGAAGAAAAATAAATTTACCCTAAACACAGAGTATCTTTGTTGCCTCAGGGCAACATGCAGAAGTTCCAAAAGAGACAAATTCCAGTACCTGCTGGAGGGTAGCACGTAGCAGGCACTCAATAAAATGGGTTGACCTACTAGACTAACTGCATAGTCTTGCCTTTCTATCCCTCTCATGTGAGGAGAGTTCTGGAGTTTATAAAAAGATTCCACATTTTTACCTCCTCAGAGCAATATGTAAGTTTTGGGTACTGCTGTATCTATTTGACAGGCAGATAGCTGGTTTGTACCTACATTTACCCTCAAGTTCTATGACTTCTTCCTACTGACTGGTTCCCTATCACTACTATATGAGCACGGGCATCTACGTACAGCAGGTAAAACAACACTGTGCCAGGCACGTGTTCTCATTAAAACAATATCAAAAGGGTTCGGATGGAAAAGGTGAAGCCTGGTCTCTGTGAGACCTTGGGTGAGAACTTGTATCTAGAAAGAGATCGGTCCTAAGCTTCTTTTTGAATACCCATACATATTAACATTAAATAAATACAAAACTAAAAGTTTTCTCAATGTTCCTAACATAGTTATGAACTAGTCGTATCTCCATACACTAGTAAGCCACAGTAAGAAAATGGCAGCCTTCAAAAGGCTGAGTGAGTCACACTACTAGTTCGCCTTTTGCCTAGTCTCAAAAATCTACTTCCATGTGTTTTGTGGTTTTAGCAACCTGTGGTCAGGAAGGAGGAGAAAAAGCAGCCTCCTTTTAAAGGTTTCAAAAATTCAGGGCCAGACTCCAGACACTAACTGCCAAACCACTGCAGCAACAACCAGTGCTTCAAGCCACAGCTGAGCAATCTTCCTACACCCAGAAAACAACTGCTTCTGTTAGATCTTGTATTGTATATGGTCTCTAAAGACACTGCATAATGAGAGCTTTTAGCCTGTAGTCACACAGCCAGCCACTGTAGACAACGGAATTCAAGCAGAATGTCTCAAAGAGAACTTGAGATCTTTTGCCAAAAAGAGATGCAGATGGAAAAGCAGAGGGTCCAGAGAGCACCTTATTTTCTTGAGACAATACTAGCTTTACCAATAAAAGCCAGACACACCCAAGCCAGAAATATATTGTTAGAAGTAAGAGATAGCCTTAAGTATGCATGTGCATGGGGTGACTCCATAATGCAGTGCTTAAGTGCTGCCCTACGAAATCAGATCATACATGGCCAACAAGGGTTCAAGTCTTGGCACCAGAGGATAGAAAGACATGCAGGATACACACACATCTGAGGTCCTAACTAGGTGGAGAACTGGAGGAAAAAGGACTAGGAAATTGCTGGAAAAGCCAGCATGACCAGGCTCTATTGGGACATTGTCTCTCTCATTCTCATTCTGGCAGTATTCCGTTTTCTCTACAAAAAAAAAAAAAAAAAAAAAA